CGGACGAACAATGCTGAGGTTAGGCGCAGTCACCCACCGGAGCAAGTGATCGACCTCCATAGATTACGATGGTTGGGGCATGTGTTACGTATATCACCAGATAGGTTTCCGCGGCGAGCGATGTCCGCCGAGGCAAGTAGTGGGTAGAAGAAAGTCAAGGAAGGTCAAGCTAAGACCTGGCACGAGGGTATGAAAACCCTAGCCAGGAGACTCGGTGATGTAGGTCCCTTTAGGTTATCTGGATGGGGACCCCGAGATTAAGGTAACCGGTGGTTAGACGCTGAATATGGCTGGGTGTCGTAATCAGTGGCGTTCTTTGATCTTCTCAATTTCTTTGCAGTCATAGTTTACTGGAGTTCTCAATTTTCTCTTCAATCTTCCTGTTCTTCTCATAATATTAATCCAAATTGGCAGCCAAAAGACAGCAACCAGAGCCGGCGCGCGAAACTGCATGGATAACGCTTGTTCAAACTGAATGCACTGTCACTAAAAACAAGATAAATGGCTCAAGTACATTCCAATCATCAGCTCATCTCCGACGACCCAGGCATGTAAGCGCTATGGATTCTGCGTTGAAATGCTGAACCTAAAAACGTGGTCCAGTTCATTTGAGTCGACACTTGCACCGATGGTGGTAGTAGGCAATTCAATGCTACTGAAGGGTAATTGATAAACTTTCCCAAAAGAACGAAACTCGAGTCGTTCCCGAAAGTTCGTCCGAAATCGTAAAAGCAAGATACGGCCTAATCTGGAATATAATCGCCTACAAGCACACGTCAGCGGATCAATGAAAACCGTGCAAAGGAACTGCGATAGTTGCACTGCGGGCTGTGCGATCAAAAAGGATCCCGGTACCGTAGGAAAGAATCATGAGAGGTCGATGATAACCATCAAGAAAAGTGCGGTTGACAATAACACCCACAAAACACGGAAAGTCATGGGTTAACTTTTGGGGATGCGTACGTCTTAATTAAGGAATCAGAAGCATCCGAACGCCTGAAAAACAGCACGACATTTGTTCATGCTCCCTTAGTCAAGTTGGATCCATCAAACGTTGTATTACACCTGAAGTTTAAAAGAACACCGAACTTAAACACGATCATTCATATGATCACCATTTTATTCAGGACCACAATGCGCATCAATAGAAATACAAAGACTGTAACATGTTAGCTCTTGGCCCCAACCGCCTCTGCGGGTAATTTGACAGGTTTCTTCTTTTTGCTCTGGATTTTGATAGGTTGCAGGAGTATTTCCTAAAGACTAAATAATGGTAAAATGTGATACAAACCTTAACATCTGCATCCTTCACTTTGCATTCGGACTTGAACAGGGTTGCATCAAACGGGAGACCAGTTATCCGCATAGGACCGTTAGGCATCAGTAACACCGTAAACCTAAATTGCGCCACAAACTCATCTGCAAGAGTGATGTTACACAATCCTCATACTACCTTCTTTTTCACAGTACACTGGTAATGCTTGTACAACATCATGTTTCGCACATTCAGTGATTCCTAACCGCGCCTTTTTCAAATCTTCAAGACCTCTGAAAACACTAGACAATAAATTCTGACATACCTGATGTTGAATGGATATGCCGAAAACTTATTTGCGATTTCCGCATACAGCTCTATCACCAATATTATGACGTTTACTGAACTCACGTCTCGAGGCTTTCATTTTCAACTGATAAAGCGTTTCGTTTTTCTTGTATATGGTCGTACGCGCCTTGTGTTCACGGGCTTTACCATCTCCAGTTGACACTAGAATGTCAATATTCCACACTTCATTGACTTCAAAAGTGCATTTCTCAATCGATTTTTTATGCTCTTCACTCGGGTTTAAAACAATCGCCTTCTCTGCATCGTATACCATCCGCCGCATCTGGTGCGACTGCATACCTGTGGGNTGTGGGCAAAAGGTGAGCCTAATACGCAACATACCCTCGACGGGGCGGCAATTAAAGTCACTTGCTGTCTTCGTCACCAATTCAGAGAGCTTAATATTCTGAGAACACTAGTCACATACTAGAACACAGCTACCTCATTGCCGGGTCGCATCTGTCGCAGAGCTACTTCAGCTGCAGTGTGTGCAGCCATTATGACATCTGCCTTTCTACCAGTTACTTTTCGCTCCTAATCTTGTATGATAATGAAAGAATGCTAACCTGAGAGGAACCGACGACGAAAGTATGACCCAAGACAACTGCAAATCCATCTATATGGGCACCCAAATCACTGCAAAGATACGTCACAGGTAGACATATTCTCACATTTTTACTAAATCTTCATCTTTCAACTCTACGATTTCGTTGTCTTCGCCTTCCAGCGGAGAGTAATGGCATATGATATTGTTAATGCTTATAGAAGTGGGGAAAGCGAGACCTGAAAATATTTAGAGGAAAAACAATAGAACCTTTTTTCATGGACTTTTCTTTCTTGAATAATTTAGAAGTCTCTTCTACAATCCGCTGATCTCCATATTGACAGAGTTCAACCAACTGGGCTCCGGGGATGCACATTTTTACAAGCTCCGTCAAAACAGCTTTAAATGGTCATTCGGGATAAATGAGTGTATCATACTATTTGCAATCTCTGCTGCCATCTTGTACTTATTGACGACGATGTCGTCCAAAATTGTCGTCTCTTCATCCGATTCGTGGTCCGACATGCCGCAAGGTGCTGAGTGCCGCCAAAAATCAAACGTTCAAGGTCGAAAACTGAGGTCGATAATAATCTAGACTCTTGAAAAGTTTGAGATAAAACTGACATCAAATTTGTCACGGGGGTTCACTTAGATTCACGGGGATCGACGGGCCTTGGAAGCGAAGTTTTCGAGTAGTCCGGTTTTTGGTGGTAGGTTTATGGCTTGGTGACGGATGAAGGTCCTTGTGAGACTTAACGATTTACCGCGTGGTTTGAATTTTTGAACTGCTCTGTTACCTCCCCTTTCATTTGCATTCAATAGTGAAATAACTGGAGTTATTTCACAGATTTAGCGAATCTTAGCAATAAGTTAGGTTCGTGTTGTTTTTATTCTGAAAATTTCGCTCTCCGACAAGTGTGTTTTTACCATGGAGAGTTTTTCCTTTTTCCTGTATCACTTTAGAGTGGTCCTACCAGGTTTAGAGTTTTTCACTGATAAGGTTAATCTTTTGTCTCCGAGTGAAAGTTTTATTTTTCTTTCATGCCGGAATTCGTCGCGTATATAGAAAGTGAAGCGTGAAGTAAAAACCTGGGAAACACTGCAAAGCTGTCCCGCCTTGGTTGGATCTCATCAGCAGTGCGAATCCATCGACCAAACTGGGGATCGAATCCGGGACTTCATGAGCAGAACGCAAGCATGCTATCCACTCGGCCACCGGGCAGCTGATCAGACCGCTTTTCAATTTTCCATGTACACGTTCTAGAACAACCCAACTCTTATGTTTACGTTGTTTCCATACTCATTCTCATTTGTGAAGAAGGGACTTACATAATGGCTTGCCATTAAGACCCTAATACATACGATAATAAGACTTGTGGGAAAGCCGTGATTTCTGGAATTCAGTGCGATAGGTGCCAAGATTGGTACCATCAACAACATTCGGCCTTAACCAAACAGAACTACCAACTGCACGCTAAGCACGAAACTCTGAAATGGGTGTGCATACGCTGTGTTTCGTCTGCTGAACGGTGCGCTCGCTTAATACTAGGCTCCCTTCGGCCACAGACAAAAGACGCAAATTCTCGGCAGGAACAGCTCTCCCGAAATACGGCGCAGGGGAACACCAGGTGTGAGAGGGCACCGGCTACGAGTAGCCCAAAGCAAACACCAAAGGGGGAAAAGACGAAGCCGATTCATAGCAAAGACCTGCTTCTGGGAAGGGCTGCTGGATTGGAAATGAGCACAATGAGGCAGCTGAGAATCACATCAGATTCTCCTTTTAATGTCACTACTGCCAAATCTAAACAGGAGTATAGAGCAACCGAGCCAAAACTGAAGGAAACGGTTATACGACCCTTCAAAAGGAGTAACGAGACCCTCAATAGGTCTACACCGAAGACAAAACTTGCTGCCGGTAAAGATGGGTCGGTAGCGGCCAAGATTAAAACTTGTGTGAATAGTACATTGGCACCCAGAGCTTCCGCAAGAGTGGTGCAAGAATAGCAACAAAACACTGTAGCGGGGGCCAAGGGGTAGTGGCGTGGCATCCCAACTATTAGGATTTCTAAAAACGATTGATTTTTAAATGTGGTTTAGAAAAGCGATGTTAAATTCAGCCGAAATGGAACAGATTTTGCTTTTAGCTTATTCTGAGTGATTTGTTACCATTTAATTTGTTTTATTCAAGCCTAATTAACTTGGTGTGGAAAGTATAAATACCGCCACCTAATGGCGACGATCACTTCCACGCTCCTATCAACCATGGTCTGACCAATTTCAAGTATCGGCGAGCAAGGCTGGGGGGAATTATTTAGACTATGGTCGGTTTTAACATGCAGAAGACTGGAAGTCTTTATTCCAGTTTGCAAAGCCATAATCAGGCCACATTTAGAGTATTGTGTACAGGCTTGAGCACCCTTATTCAAGAAGGATGCTGCCTGTTTAGAGAAACTGCAGAGATTGGCCACAAGAATGGTTGAAGGCCAGAGGGGAAAAACATGTGAGGAAAGACTTGAGGCACTAGGACTTTTCTCATTAGAAAGAAGGAGACTGCGAGGAGACCTGATAGAAACCCTCAAAATCATAAAGGGAATATCGGGGATAGAAGCGGACAGTCTCTTTACATTAACTCCCCAACACGGCACTAGGGGTCATGAGCTCAAGCTCATGAAGCAGAGGTGTCGATTAAACATGAGGAAGCACTTCTTCAGCAATAGGATAGTCGACAGTTGAAACAGGCTTTCCCAGGAAATTGTCGACCTCCAAACTGTGCAAGCATTTAAGACTGCACTCGATAAGCGATGGGTGGAACTATTCCCATCACTGGCAGTGTAGACGAGTGTATGTGTGCCAAATGTTTAGGATGCCTTTTCCCTTTTTACTGGTACACACATGGAATGCTCATGTCTAATAATTCACTTGCCAACTTGGTGAGATGAGATTTTATTCTTCATTCTTATTTCAGCAGTGCTGGGTGCCCATGTTGTGAACATACGATCGAAGGAATTCTGGATGCTCGATTGGCTGTGGCCATATTCAGTCCTGCGCAACCTGACCTGACCTGGCTCATGTTAACGATACGGTCGTTTTTGAACGGATGGTAAATATTGCTATGGATCGCTGAAGGGATTCTTGGAGGACTTCCGTGAATTCCAAAGAGTTACTTGCAATTCCTTCTACGTTTATGCGTCAATGACAGCGGAACAACTGATACGGGAATAAAAGTTTGATCGGAAACTGACTCTGCCTGAGGATTTTCCGTATTATTTCATCAAATATTGCTGTGTACATCACAGGAGGCGCGGTGCACCTGCAACATGGTAATTATGCCTCTCATTTCTAATGTAATTAACCCATTGTAGGCTGCAAAATATCGATTGTCCGGCATTCGTTGGAATTCACGCGGTCTAGAGGGAGTACCGAGTGAAGAAACGTTGTCTGGTGCACAACCATGACTTTCGTGAAATCGTCGTTCATCTGGAGAACAGGAAGAGGAAGTGTGTACTTTGATGGACAATTCTAGGAGTACTCGCTAGCTAAGGGATTTCGTCACACACAGGTTCCAGAGACCCTCAACTACGGCAGATATAAGATTCATACGTCGAAGAAGGTCTCGGTCGGATTCACATGGTGATGCAATGAAAGTTAGGGATATGCTGGAAAATCAGGGAGAGGTTAGGATAGGGCTGAACGAAGGCTTTGTTCATCGCATTTATATTGTTCCTAAGATTATGCTGCACTGCGTCGACAGTTTTAATTATGTTTTGTTAGCGAAAGCCACACATCAGGTAAACTGTGGAGAATACGTGCTTTGGCATGCTATGCTTGTAGACGACACCGGTTCAGGTAGAAGTTTCATCTACGCTATCTTGCCGAACGAAAGCGGTGAGAGCTTTAGATCTGCTGTGGGAGCCATGAAATCTATGCGCCCAGTCTTCGCACAATGCAAGAGTATAGTAGTCGATCGTAAATTGGCTCAGTACAACGCGTTTCCAGAATAATTTCCATCATCTAATGTGTTATTTTGTCGTTTCCACCTCGTTAAGGATACGAAGAAGAAATGTAGCCAGCTATCTGGTATGCCAACGTTCGAAAAACAGCGCATCTTTCAATGGATGCGGAACATGGTGTACTGTGATAATGAGATATCGTGTCGTAGATTCCTAGCCGCCGTAGAAAGTCGTAGCACAGAAGCAGGTGTTTATTTACGCCGAATTTTTTTTACCATACCGAAAGCAGTGGGCAGGGTATGCCGTTAGGACTAGGTTGACTTTGGGAAGCCTAACTACCAACCGAATGGAGAAGGAAAATAGGCACCTCAAGACAGGCTTGTCTCCTCGGTCTACATCAGTGGATGTATTTAAGAAAGTTCTACAACGAATAAGGTCACTGGAAGTGACGCATGGAATTCGCCTTGCTAAAGATTCCATGAGGGGATGTCCGACACCAAGCGGTATGCAGTGTTTTAAACCCCTGCTTATAGGAGTAACACCATTTGCGCGGAGTATATTATAAAGTCATGTAAGATTGAACCAATTGTTCACGAGAGAGCGTTCTTCATGTTCGTGGATCGCAAGGGCAAGGGTTATGAAGTAGTTACTGCAGGGGAAACGAATTGAGAGTGTTATTTCTAAGCGCCATTTGTTGTTGCCCAGCTTGCATATAGCCAGGGTATTCGATCTGATTAATTGGGATATTCAAAGTCATTCCAGATGGGTGGATTATAAACCGCGGCGAAAAGCATTCAGATCAGAACTCCACTCTGGTAATAGCGGCCTCAAGAAACGTCATGGGTAAGCCATCAAAGTTAGCTCAAACAGACGATGACCTTCAGAATAGCATTTAGACTAGCTTTTGACAGTTATATGGAAGTTGCAAGCCTTAAAGTTTTGTTATAGGTACATCTCCCCCGAGA